GAATCGGCAGTCTCTAGAGTTGGAAAGAGAAAAAAGGGTATACTGTATTTTGAGCACGGCATACTCTCTACCCTCTTCTGTGTCTACCAATTGCAGCATATAATGCGTTTTATCCAAGAAGAGAATATAAAGACACAGAAAGTAATTTTTTTAAGAAATAAAGACCAAGTCCATGTCATAAAATTGTATTTGGTTGAAAACAGCTACAGTTTAACATAGTAACACTCAGAAAATAGTTCTACTACCCATTTATCTAAATGCTGCTGGCAGGAGGGAGACACAAGACATGAGACAGCAAACCCAGAGATGCTGAATCTGAGCAGCACCTCATCTTTGTATGCATTAACTGCGTTTACACATTTAGTCATGCATCCTCTTCTCACAATTTTGGGAAATCTGTTCCTGGAATGAACCAATCACTTCTTTCATCTCACACTGAAGTCCACATGGCACTTCTTACTGTGTTTGTATCAGAGTACTGTCTATATCTTCCCTCTTAAGAGAAAAGGCACCACAAAAAAATCAATCCAAATAAAAGATTTCTAATTAATGCACAAGAGCTCAAAGAAAAGTGGGCAGACCAAAGTAGAGAGCAATCAGCAAACACAGAATTGCCGTAAGTTCAGAAGGTTTCTCCTCTCTCAAGCCGCCTTTTCAAAGGCAGCATTCATAACAAGTAGTTCACACCTAGCAAGGGATGTGACCAAGCGATTAAGATATTAACCGCACTGTTCAAGAAACTGTGATTACAAACAGGGTTGTGAAAGATGACACACCATCCACTTATTTCAAGTATTTAAATAGCTTCCTTACTTTTTTCCCTCTAAGAATTTCTTTTTTGTAACGACAAAAAATACAGTTCAAGATAGAAAACTGCTGTTATTTTTATTCTTAGGTAGGAAAACACTATGTATTTAGTGCAATTCTGTGCCTCTAGCGTGACAGTGACTTAAATTCCAAGTCTGACTATGATTACAAGTTAAGCTCATGACTCTTCTCTTCCCATCTAGCTCGGAGTATTTACCAGTTAGCACAAATAGTATTGCTTTGCCCTTCATAGGAGGAAGTTATGCGGTTTCAACTGTTTCCACCTTCTTCATCAAAAATATGAAAAAACAAGTAACTGTCTTCTCAGAGCTACTCTACAGTGCAGAAGAAAACACCGAAGTCTGGCAGTAGCAGAGTGTGCTAGTCTACTCTATGTAGAGGTTTGAGATAAAAGTCATTTTACTTAGCACAGATCTTTCCTGAAGGAGAGGTTACTTTAAATTTATACAACATTATTTTAATGAAATATTAATGAAAACACACTATACCTATAACAGATGTGGACAAAAAAGTTCATTTGCTTTCTAAGCTTCTTTCCTCCCAGATTCCTCTACCTGGTAACAGACAGCATATCGACTGTCAGAATTCTAACTGGTAACAGAGCACACTGCACACAAATTTATCAGATGTTGCTCTTCAGCCAGACTGTCTGGATACATTACCAAAAAAAATAAATAGGACAACTTGAGAGTAT